TGAAGCCACTGGGTCCAGGTATTAAACCATGACTGGCCACAAGGGAGTCCAGTGGCATAACTGTTACACCATCTGCTGGCTCCTCAACCCGACCCTCTTTGAAGATTCCTTCCTCCCACCCTTTTCAACGGGCTCTTGGCACCAGGATAACAATCTATCTTCCTTTTGCTGTCCCAGATAGACACACAAAAATTCACCACTGGGATGGAACACAAAGTCAACATCTGGACAGTGCATCCAGATATGGATGCTCATTCCTTCAGATACCACCTTGGTATGATTAGATAGTTAAATTCCTCACCTGAGAGAGATGTGCAAGTGCAGAAAAAAGCCTGGGAAACCAAACAAGGAAGCCAGACACTATGACAGACCTTCCCCTGCTAAATATTCATTGTCAACCCTCAGGATAAAAGTAACACCTAACCTCATGCCCAATGCAGTTGTCCTTCTCTGGCAGCTGCCCACCTCATGCCCTTCAGGCATGGGGGTGTATTTCCTCCCTATTAGAAATCTTTACTTTTCTATTAAAACTTTTTTTTTCCTCCTTTACATGTGCTTGTGGTTTTTCATTCTGCATCTCAGGACAGGTCTCTCAGAAATGTGAACTTGAAGAACCTAGGTTCCTATAGGCAACTCCCTCCCTCCAAGATTGGATAATTACAAAATGACCTATCTTTAAGTTCTGATTTATTTTTTTTACTGCCTGCTCAAAGGTGCCGTCGAACTCTTCTAGTGTGTTTTTCATTTCAGATATTGTACTTTTCTGTTCAGAATTTCCATTTGCTCTTTTCGAGCAACATTAAGTTTGTCAATGAGTTGGCATTTCTCTTCAATATGATGGCCAGTCTTTTTAAGCCACTTCTCTCTTCTCACAAAAAGTTAGCTTCTCAGAGATTGAACAAGCCTAAATAAAAGCAAGAAGCCCAAAGACCCCCCTGACAGATAAAAACCCTTGTCTCAGTTTTTCATTGGCAACCCATTTTCCAGGACCCCACTCCCTGTATGGGAGCTCTGATATTTCTTCTCTCTGAACAAACTCTCCATTTCACTATTCCTTCTCTGTGTCCACATCTCTAATTCTTTGTGAGTGTGAGACAAAGAATTGGGTTTGTTGCTTTTACTGCACTGGGTGTTGGACCCATGCACCCTAATTTTCTGCATTATCCTTTTCCTGCATCACTGGCATGTTTTCAAGGTGCTGGGTCCAGGTCTGGGACTCAAACCAGGAGGTTGGCCATGTCGAATCAAGCCACCTTAAACATCATGCCATCAGCTGACACTGTATGTCTTATATTCTTTTTTGTTTCTCAGTTTCTCCAATCTTGCTTTCTCTTATGTTTTACTGATTTTCTGTAGTGTACCGTTTTTATCCACTCCTTGTTTCGTTTTCTGTATATTTTTGTGTTATTTTCTTAGTGGTAACCCTAGGGACTACAATTACTATCCTAAATTGATAATAATGTACTGGGAATTGATACCTACATGAGCTTTAGTAGCATACAAAAATTCTGTTCCTATTCATCTCTACCCCCTCCCCCACTTTGTTATTTCACAATTGTATTATTATACGTTAGGTGCGCATTACTGTATATTTAAAATGATTGTTTTTAATAAATGTGTCTTTTAAATCATAAAGGGGAAAAAGGAGTTACAAACCAAAAGTAAAGCAATATTGTTTTTTATGTTTACCTATTAAATTGTCTTTACTGGTATTCAATATTTTTTTTATTTATTTGTAGAGCTTTAAGCCTAAAGGACTCCCTCTAGCATTTCTTGTAGCTCAGGTCTATCAGCAACAAACTCCCTCAGCTTCTGTTGATCCAAAAAATGTCTCAATTTCTTGTGAACTCCCATTATGCATGTGTTGATATACTTTGATGGTACCCCACAGGTCTCTTAGGCTCTGTTCATTTTTATTCTATTCTTTTTATTCTTTTCTTTTGGCTCTCTGTTCCTCAGACTGGATAATTACAAAATGATTTGTTCTTAAGTTCTATTTTTTTTTTCCTGCTGGCTCAAATATGCTGTTGACTGCTTCTAATGTATTTTTTATTTCAGCTATTGTACTTTTCTGTTCAGAATTTCCATTTCGTTCCTTTTTTTATAATTTCTATTTCTTCATGGATATCCCCTATTTACTAAAACACTGGTCTTCTGGTTTCCTGTTTTCTTTAGTTCTTGAACTTTGGGTTAGCTCTCTGAGCATCTTTAAGATAGTTGATTTAACATCTTTGTCTAGTAAATATAATATCTGAACTTTTCCAGGGATGGTTCCTGTCAATTTCTTTTGTCCCAGTTAGTAGATCAAACTTGCCTGTTTGTTGATATGCTGTGTAATTTTTCATTGAAAACTGGACATTTTTAATACTATACTGAGGTAACTTTGTAAATAAAATTCTTTTCATTCCCCAGGGTTTAGTATCATCATTCTATGAAGACTATAGTCATACATTTTTAGTGACTTTTCCAAACTATTCTGACAAAAATTGTATTCTTTGTCATGTGTCATTCTGAATTTTTCGTTCTGTTGTCTATGTACTTAACAAATGCCTTAAAGAGAGACTTCCGTAAATGTGAAAGTAAAAAAGAATTGAAAATAACAAAAATACTTTTCCCTGTGTGTTTGCAGATTGGCTCTGAGCTGGGGTCTCTTTCAATGTTTAACCAAGCTACCTATAACTCTACTTTAACGTTCATCTCCTGGGACCAGCAGATGGTGTAATGGTTAGGTTGCTGGACTCCCACGTAGTCGACCGCAATTCGAGTCCCAGACCGGTGGCTTAAAAGCCCTGCTGGGTGTGTGTGTGTGTGTGTGTGTGTGTGTGTGTGTATGTGTGTGTACGTGTCCAAGATCCTGAGAGGAGAATGGAGGAGAAAAGATGGTGGTGTGGCTATTTCCCCTGGGGGGTGATTTCTCACTTTCTATCTCTCTGTCTCTCCAGTGACCACATATGCCCTCTAGCAAAAATCTCTTTAAAAAAAAAAAAAAGGCTCATCTCCTGCTTGTATGAGCCTCCAAATCAGTAAAAGGTACAAGCCCCCACCTAACCCCAGTCAGAATGACTAAGATTAAAAAAACAAAAAATGATAAATGCTGGTGGGGGTGTGGTGAAAGTGGAACTCTCTTTACATTGCTGGTGGGAATGTAAATTGGTCCAGCCACTGTGGAGAACAATTTGGAGATTCCTCAAAAATCTATGAATAGAACTACCATATGATCCAGCAATCCCACTCCTTGGTATCTACACAAAGGACAGAAGAATACTTAAATGGAAAAGTGCTTGCACATTGATGTTTACTGCAACACTATTCACAGTTGCTAAGTCATGGAACCAACCCAAATGACCATGAACAGATGAATGGATAGGAAAACTGTGGGCACATATACTCTTATGGAATACTATTCAGCCATAAAAAAAAATATCCTGGCTTTTGATAGAAAGTGGAAAAATATGGAAGATTTACTGCTGAGTGAAGCAAGCCAGGCTATGAATGAGAGACATTGTATGTCTCCACTTAATATATACTGAGTGTCTGCACTCTGACTGAAACTGATTGACTAAAGGGTATAGAAACACAGTATATGTATGTACATACTAGATACAGTGTGTATGAAAGAGTAGGGTCCGAAGAAGGACATTTAGAAGAAAAATAGGGAGGCAAAGCATTAAGGGGAGAAAGAAATGTGATATTATCTGTTGAATATATTTTATAGTTTTATCAACTGTAGTAGGGAGAAATGTTCACCTGTTGAAATATTCACTTTGTAAACTAAATAATGTGACTGAATATATAAAAGAAAATGAAATTTAAAAAAAAGAAGGAAAAAAAAAGGCGCAAGCCCACTGTCTTAGTCCATTATTGCATAGGGGCCTGAGGCTGTTTGGTGATTTATAAAGAAATAGGGCTTAATAACTCACAATTCTGGTAGTTTGAAAGTTCAAGGGTATAACGAAATGGAGGAAGGTAGAAGTCTTGTATCCATATGGCTTTGCAACCTCTTTCTTCATTAACTCTTTTCCCTGGTTGTGTGAGTTTTTTTATTAGATTACAGAGTTACAAAAAAGTTGATTTTGTTTTTGCCACCATAATGGTTGCTTAAGTAGAACTAATTCAAGGAGCTCCCTACTCCATTGTTTTTTTCACAATGTCTTTCAGGTCCTTTTTTTTGGTCTTTGTCATAGGGTGCATATGCTCACCAGAGACAAAGTGAGAGGGAAATGGCTATGCCACAATTCCTTCTCCTTCATTCTCCTCCTGGGATTTCTTGGGCGCACACACGCACACACACACACACACACACACACACAGTATGATTTTTAAGCTTCCAGGTCTGGTACATGAACCGTAGTCTGCCATCCATGTGGGAGTTCAACACTTTAACCACTACGCCACCTGCTGGCCCTCTTAGGCACATTCTTAAATTGCTATATTTAACTTGAAATATTAAACCAATTATTTTCTTTCCACATACCTTATTTGTTCAGACTATTTCCTCTACATGAGGCATCCTTTCCACTACTCGTTGTCTAGCTCTCGTTCAAATTTAGATGTATTCTCTACAAAGCATTCTCGAAACTTCTAGGCAGAGCTAAGTGCTTCTTCTTTATAATGCCACAGGACTTACCCATAATATTCTTTTGCAAAGTACCACATTTCTGAAATTGTCACTATTTTTGTCTACCTCACTAAAGAGTAACTTGATAGCAGACACATGTGTAATGTACTGACTTCAGGAACATTCTAATTACAGGCAATGGTCTTCATCCTGAGGGGCACAATCTTTCCAACTCCTTACCCTGGTTGAAGAGTGCCACATCAGATTGTAGGCTCTGCTTTTATATTCCTAAAGCTTAGCACAATGCCAGATACTCAGTAGTTACAGTGAATATAATTATTGCATGGACCTATAAGATTTAGGTAATACAAGGAAACAAAGTAGCTGGTAACAAAATTAATATCACAATATCACAATCCTATCTTTCACTTTAGCAGCTTACGTTCTGGTTGTTTTTCATTAGGTGTTATGGATCGCACAAAATCTTGTGGAGTCATAAATACTTCTGTTTCACCAGGTTCATTGATTATTTTTAAGGTGGCAAAATATCGAAAGATTTTGTCCGGTGTGGAGTAGGCTCGAATCCTATTCTCATATTCCATCACCTAAAATTAAAATTTAGAGAGTGTTACTATATTAAACAAACAACATATGCTCACAAATTCTTATCATCAATGCTTATTAATTTTCATATAGTTTCCATCTTATTTTATCATTTTTTAATGGGGGAAATCTTATTATATCATTTTTTTCTTAAACTGAGTTTTAAAATTTTATACATAAACTTGAATTTCAGAAATCTTTGACTCTCTTTCCTACAATATACCATTCATACCTCAGTTCAAGCAAAGCTCATGTAAATTTTGTTTACAGCTTTTGTTTTAGACAATGTTTTTAATTTCCTAAATCATTGAAAGCTAGCAAAATTGAAAAATGTCATAAAAGAATTCAAAAAGTCTTAGTAACAGAGTACAATGCCATATATATATATATATATATATACACACACACACACACACACACATACATATATATAGTATCCTACAAAGTCTTAAATTTTGATTATACAGTTCTTACTTCTATGTAACTTCCTGAATCCTAAAATAAAACACTTGAGATTTATAGGTCTGAATAGCTGGCAGGCTGTCAAAGACAAAATATATTAAATGGTGGCATAGGAAAATAATTATATGTTACAGAAACTCAATTCATTAACAGGCCTGAAATGACAGATTTTTACTTTTGACTATAAAATTAAGTAAACTGACAGAGATCCTTTACATACAGCTTATTTAGAAAGAATACAAGCAAATATTTGAAAAGCAACAAAATCAAATATGACATACATTTCACTTGAAGTTTGTCATATTAATAATACAAAAGCTCATTCCCTCCTCTGGCATACATACCCCTATTCTGTGTATAGAACTTACAAAACATAATACCAATCACATAATATTTTAACAAAAAAAGAAATTCTCTTACACTTAATTACGTACTTTGCTATAGTAAAAAAATAAATTTTATAAATAACCAGCTAGATGTGTCAAGACAACAAAACTTAAAAACCTATCAGCTCAGTGGCTTTTAGCAACTGATTAGTATTAAGAAAAGCATCAATAACTTTTAAAAATAATTATTAATTTAATTTATTTTATTTATTTTTAAAAATTGCTATAGGGCAGGTATGCTCACATGAGGGGTGGGGTAGGGGAGTGAGAAAGCAAGCGGTCAAGTCTGGGACTCAAACCATGGTGGGCCACGTGGGAGTCCAGCACCTGAACCACCATGCCACCTGCTAGCCCCTACCAATAATGTTTTAAATGTGCCATATTAACAGCAATTCTTGTAACTTGTCAATCCTGGCTAGATGTAACTGTGAAGTCATTGGCAGAAGCTATTTAACAAGTCTTAATTCCACGACCAGATGTGCTTATAGCAATTGAAGAAAGGCTGTTAATTTGTAACTCATAACAGGAATCTTTTCGATGCTAACTTGCATAAAATGTAAATAGATTTCAGAGGAGACTTTATGCAAAGATTGAGCATGTGTCAAACATACTATAGAACTTTTTCGCTCCTTAGCAGCCTTGAGACATTTCTAAATCTTAAAGGCGTCTTGTATTAGACCGTAACTGTCTGCAAGTTAACTGGTCACAGTAGAAACAGTTTTCTTTAGGCATCTATGTTCTTGTTTTTCCTAGAAACAACTACAAAAAAAAAAAAAAAAAAAGGAAAGAAAGAAAGAAAAGAAAAGAAGAAGTTTGGAATGTTAGGATATATAAGCTATAATTACTGTCAAAGAGGACTTTGTGAACTGAAAAGTTAAGCCGATAACTTAAAAACAGAGATTTTGGGGAACCAGCAGTTAGCGTAATGGCTATGTCGCTTGACTCCCATGTAGTCGACCGCGGTTTGCGTCCTGGACCCGGTGGCTTAAAACTCACGCCGGGCGCGTGTGCATGCATGCCCAAGATCCCGAGAGGAGAATGGAGCGGAAGGGATTGCAGCGTGAGCATCCCCCCTGGGGGGTGATTTCTCGCTTTCTGTCTCTATGTCTCTGTCTGTCTGGCGAGCGCATGCGCCCTATAGCAAAAACCTCTCCAAAAAAAAAAAACCAACAACAACAAAAAAAACAAAACCAGAGATTTGGGCCAGTCCATGCCCTGGTGGTTAAGAGAGTTGGATTCCACCTGGCCAACTATACAGTTCAAGTCCCAAACTTCTTGGCCATTCACGTGTGTGTGTGTGTGTGTGTGTGTGTGTGTGTGTGAGAGAGAGAGAGAGAGAGAGAGAGTTCTCAAATCCCTAAAGAATAAAAATTAAAAAAAAAAAAGACAAAGATTTTAAGAATGAAAATTAGATTCCTTGATTGTTACAACAGTCACTAAATTATGCAGCTGAAGGCCCAGCTATGGTAGCATGTGCTGGTAGCATGCGCTGAAAGGCACTGCTACTCAGCAGGCTAAGACCACATGAAAGGCTCATGCTGATTCCTGGCCTACCTAAGCCAGGTGTGGTGGCATGCACCTTCAGGCCCAGCTACTCAGGAGGCTGAAGCAGGAGGAATATGATATAACAAGATCTTGTCTTTAAACAAACAAAAAATGATGCTGTTGAATATCACTAATATGATCACAATTTAGACACCTACTTTATTTTGAAACAATAGGTCAAAGATTTTAATAGACTCGATGCACTTTCCAATTGGTGGAATTTAGTATACAACCATACAATATATTACGTATTTTGGTTTTCTTAGCATTATAGCTTGAAGATCATTCCATATCAGCTGATGCAGAGCTAACTGCTCTTAAGTGGTCATGTTAAAAGGAATATTAATGGGGCTGGCAGATGGCACAGTGATTAAGGCATGACTCCCACATGGCTGAATATGATTCAAGTCCTGGACTTGGCAGCTTGCTTTCTCACTTTCCCTCTCTCTGTTTCTGGTCAAATTAAAAAGTAATAATAATAATGATAAATAAAGTTAAATAAAATAATTCTTAAAAAAAGAAAGGAACACCTGGATAAAGTCGCTTTAAAATTTAAATGATGTAGGGACCAGCAGTTAGCGTAATGGCTATGTCGCTGGACTCCCACGTAGCCAACCACGATTCGCGTCTCGGACCCGGTGGCTTAAACTCACGCCGGGCGCGTGTGCGTGCGTGCCCAAGATCTCAAGAGAAGAATGGAGGAGAAGGGATTGCGGCATGGCCATCCTCCCAGGGGGTGATTTCTCACTTTCTATTTCTCTGTCTCTCTCTGTCTGGCACGCACACGCGCCCTATAGCAAAAACCTCTCCCCCCCAAAAAAAATTTAAACGATGTATAGCGATTAAACGTATAAATAATAATTAAAATTAATAAATGAAAAATTATAAAAATAAAAGGAACACAAACAACCATATGAAGAGTTCAGAATACAGCATACAAGATAACAGAGACTTGGAAGCAGAAATACATAGAAATTATTGAAGGATTTTAGGATATTTGACCTAGAGAAAGATTTATAATGGGAATTATGATCGTTCATTCCATCATTTACTTCAAAAAAATTTCCTTGAGGAGACCAGTAGATGGCATAATGGTTTTACATTGCTAGACTCCCATGTAGTCGACTGTAGTTCGAGTCCTGGACCTGGTAGCTTATAACTCATGCTGGGTATGTGTGTGTGTGTCCCTAAAGATCCCAAGAGGAGAATGGAGGAGGAGGGAATGCGGTGTAGCCACCTCCCAACGGGGGACTGATTTCTCACTTTCCATCTCTCTAGAGAGTGCACATGTCCTATAGCAAAAATCTCTGTTTAAACAAACAAACAAAAAAAACTTCCTTGAGCACCATCTCTTTTTTGGGGGGAGAGATTTTTGCTATACGGTGTATGCGCTCACCAGAAAGACAGAGAGAGGCAAAAAGAAAGTGAGAAATCACCCTCCCCCGGGGGGATGGCCACGTCACAATCCCTTCTACTCCATTTTCCTCTCGGGATCTTGGGCACGTACGCACATGTGCTTGGCATGAGTTTAAGCCACCAGGTCTGGGACTCAACCGCGGTCGACTACATGGGAGTCCGACGACATAGCCATTACGCCAACTGCTGGTCCCAGCACCTTTTTGTTATGACATTTGTCTGCAATAAAACTGCTGGCTTAATTAAATTAAAAATCTAGGCATTATTTTTCCTATATGAACTGCATCGAAGAGTAGCCAAATAGTATAACATTTGGAACCAAATAGTAAATGAAGGCTAGTGCCTCTTTATAAAATAAAATATTCCAATTAATAAATGAAAAAGATTTGATAAAATTCAAGCATCAGCAATTTGCTTCCTCAGTGAATTAACAAATCTAGGTTTTGAACACAAATAGCTATTACTGTCACAAAAATAAAAGCCATGAGATATTAGGTATCTTCTGATAAAAGAATATAATATCACCTATAGTCTTGCCAGAGGTATCAAACTGGAGTCTGATCAAGCCTTAGAATGTAGCTATCAATAGTTGGTAATACAGAGAATAGAGGGACATGCTGAATTGCATTGAGAATAAGCATCAGCAAAATTCAGACCACAGGAAACTTCAGTTAAAATGGCCTGGGTTCTGTCATCTGTAGATTAAGAGCCTTAAAACACATATTATCGAGACAAAATAAGCAAGAATTAAACTATATCTAGACATAAATTGTGGGTGATAAAACTATAAAGAATGAAAGAAAATGTTTACTGTAAAAATCAGTTTAGGGGCCCAGCAGGTAGCATTCCGGGCTCTTTTATGTGTGTGCCCATAATCCCAAGAGGAGACTGGAGAAGGGATTGCAGTATGGCCATTCCTCTGGGGAGAGATTTCTCACTTTCTCTTTTTCTCTGTTTCTCCCTGGTAACGGTACACATCCTATAGCAAAAACTAATTTTAAAAAATATCAGTTTAGGGTCAGCCGGTGTTATAGTAGTTAAGAGGCTCGATCCCACATGGCTGACTGCGTGGTTCAATTCCCAAACTCGGCAACTGAAATAACATGTTGGATACATGTGCATGTGTGCTCAAAATCCTGAAAAAAGGAAGAAATGGAGAAGGGATTGTGGAGTGACCACCCTCTCGTGGGGGT